GAGACTATATCTTGCAAAAAAATAATAATAAATAGGGGACTAGTCCATATCAACCATACGCCCCCACTTTAGTTTAGTGGTTTTCACAATTAATATTAACCATTCAATGGATTCCTTAACTTTTTAATATGAAACTTATAAAAGTAGGCTTTATTTTGCATATGTAGTAAGGTGCGCTTTGAGCAGAAACTTTTTTTCTATGAAAAGAGGGTGGTGAGAGGATCTCATGGACACTTTAATCTGAGCTTCAAACTACTTTTCTATACATGGAATATTCCTTTATATCTTTTATTTTTCTCATTGATCGTTACCATATTATACCACATCTCTATATCACTTACATAAAACTCACTTGTATTAATGGATGAGGAGACCCACTTGAAATGATAGAATATTCTGTATGTGCAGTGAAGGTGCTGTTTGGCAAGTTTTCTTAGAAATATCTTTTAATAGTTCAGATGGTCAAAAGAGTATTAAACTTTTGGGGTCTTGTCTTTAAAGATAAATATAATTTGGTAAGCAGATCCGTCTATCGGACTTTTAAAAACGTGTTTAGAGATTATATATCACATAGAAAGACCATAAATCTTAATTTGAAACTTCCCAAAATTCGGTGTATTTAGTCTTTCTCTATCTTTCCACACATGCGTCTTTTCATCTTTCTAGCTCTTAGTTATCAAGCGGAAAAAGACTGATTTTTGGTCTTTCAAAGATACAAATTTGTGCACTTGGCATTGCTCTGATGGTAGCTTGTGCATAATCTATCTCTTGTTGTGGTGGCACACTTGTCCTTAAGTGGATGGCAGAATCTGTTCTAAGGTTAAAATGGGTGGATTTTGCTTAGATGGATTAATAGAACCTTGCAATATAACTCACACAAGAGGATTCTAGGTCATCATACAAAAACTCATGGTGACAGAAATTCAAAGTCACGGGGATCAAAACTATCAATTATCAGATGGATTTTTACCCAAGGACACCTTTTGCTATCCACCTAATAAGGAGAATGCTACCATGACCCTTCTAATAAATTGGTGGACATCCTACTTTTACCAAGGTTGGGGGCTGTTTGGAGGAGTGGTACCTTCTTGTGCAGCCCATCCACCTGACTAGGAAAGAAAGGGGGGACATCTCTAATAAATAGTCAAAATGTACCCTTCAAAAAGACAAGAACACTTTAATATAGTCCATCTTTTTAGCAGAGGTATCTTCGATTTTTATTGCCACCCTTACCCTTTGTACAAGGATGAGACCCATTGTACAAGTTGATGAGAAATTGATGAGATTCCAATTTAGGGGGTATTCTGTAGTGTGGATGAGAAGTTGGTGGGTATGGACTAGTTTACAGCATACCACAATTCACAGCTTTCTGAACTGTGGGCAGATTATATGGATTAAACCAATCCACACCCATAGTGTTGTTCTAGTCCACACCACACTTTTTGATTGCATGTATCATATACATTTTACGAATGATCTACATCATCAATCATAAATGTCTAATTTTTAAATTTTATATGATAAATATATTGAAAAAAGGCATTGATAAATTAATTTTAATCAACAAATATTAATGTTAATAAAAAATAATTTAAATATTTAAAAATATTATTTTATTGATAAAAACTTTAAAATAATAATATTTAAATAAATTAAAAAAGAGTGAAAAGGGAGCACCATCGGGCTTGTGCTAGAAGTAACATTAAAAATATTAAAAAATTAAAAAGAAAGAAAAGTATGTAGAAGAGATGTATCGTATCAAAATACAATGTGAAAATGTTGTGGACCGGCCACATCCACGAGATAAGTGTGCCTGAGATTTTGGACTATGGATGGGAACAATCCACGATATATTGTGGACCAATCCTGTCCACAACCAATGGAACGGCAAATTCACCCCTTGGTGTGGACTGAAACGGTCCATCCACGAGATGAAAACACTATTACCATAGAAACAAATAAAAACTCTAGTGTCAAAATAGTGGTTCCTATATTGGATTATTTTAGGTGTTCAAGGATAAGGAAGAGATCAGACTCCAATGAGTTCAGAGGGAGGGTAAAAGGAGTGTTGGTTCAAATGGGTTATAATTCTTTAAAAATTTGAAGAGTTATTTTATGCTTAGTATGGAGATTATTGTGAGAGGTTTTCCTTTATTTTGGTTTATATTAATACAATTTACACTTTTTATTAAAAGAAAAAAAAAAGACTAGCATATGACCCAGTAGTTGAGGTGGCCACTTTGGCATCCCACCCATGGAAGTCACACTCCATGGTAAGGTCACGTACACCCTGTTTTGTCTCCACCCTTGAGTCCCCTATGTAATACCCAAAAAAAGGAATAGGAAAGGGGATAGAGAGAGAGAGATTGTGGGAAATCGAACGCCGTTGCAATTCTTTGCACCGGCGGTGGTAAAAATACAAGGGGAGAAAAAGAGAGAGGGAGAGGGAAACGCTGCTTGCAGCGGCAGTGGCTGGAAGACGAGGGAAGAGAGGGATTTTAAATCCTACTCTTTGCATTTGTTTCTTTCACATAAGAGGGTACATTAGAGAATAAAAATCTATTCAGAGACCTCATTTAATGCTAAGTGGCACGATGTTCATTGGGAATTTGATAAGAGATTTGCAGAAACAAGGATTTTAAGTGCGTTCCAAATAAAAGTATTTTGAAGACTAAAGAACTAAAGAAGACAATTTTAAGGACAAAAAAGTCACTCAACCATTGTATTATAGTTTTCAAGTCTATAAAATAATTAATATCTAATATTAAAATAAGCAAATTTGAAGAAAACAAAATAAAGAAAGAGAGAAACACCACTTCTCATAGATAATGTCACTTTAACTATGAAATTGTAGCAAAAGGCCATTTTTTGATAAATTACAATAAAAAAAAATGTTAGGAATCTTATTATGAGCATGGTCTTTCTGAGGCGGTTGATCCTTATATAGATATAGATAGATAGCATGTAAAACCCTCTTTTTAATCTTTATTTTCTGTTTTAATTAAAAAGTAGATACCTTAGGGGTTTGGGGGTGTTCTAGAACATGCATGATTGGTTGTCTTTGTACAATTAAAATAGAAAAGAAAGGTTAAAAGAAATGTTAAAGAAGCGTGTAACTTTTCTGTGAATGGGATGCCTTTATATAGGTTAGTTGTAAGGCTAGCTGTTGTGAGACTCATGAAGTGTGTCTGAGATCTTCGACTCATTTGATTTAGAGGTGTTTTAATGCCCAAAGATGAAATCCGTGTAAGCGAGTAATGTCTATTCAGTTGCGTTCGAAACGGGCGAGGTGATAACTAGCTTCTTCCAATGTGGTGTCATGATCCTGAGAAAGTTGGAAATGACACTCCTCTTGTAGAGGAGGTCGCTAGTTGAACTCGGGTCAAATCAACGGAAGCAGGTTGTCTCTTACATCGACCTAACGTTTTGTTGAGCCAATTATAGTTTGGCCTGCCGAGGTGGTCCAAGGTCGTCAGGGCGGCTGTGAGGTATTCGAGGTGCTCCCGAGGTTTACTAATGTGGTGTTGAGTGTCAACTGACTGTTTTGAGGTGTCACATGTTATCACGTTACTGGAGGGCCAAATCACCCTTCATCAGGGCTGAAATGGCCATTCCCTCATAAGGGGTAATCCCATTTTGTGAAGAATGGAAATTGGAATCCCATTTCAACCAAACAAATGGCCATTTCAGTCTCCCCCCGCCCCAATCAAAGAAAACCCCCCAAAACCTTAATATTAACAAAATATCAATCAAGTAATAATGAGAAAATAATAATAAAAAATAAGAATATATTAATAATTAAATAATAAAAAAGATAAATTGTAATAAAATATTAAATATTAATTATAAAATACTAATAAAATAATAATAAAGTACTAAAAAAGTATTGATATAATATTATTAAAGTAATAATAAAATATTAATAAATTAATACAAAATTAAAAAAAAATTGGTTAAATTTGATTATGGCTCTATATGAACCAAACAACAAGGATTAAAATCGGACTCCAATTCCCGCATACATGAAACAAGCATGAGAAATGAAACTCCATTTTTGTTGATTAGAGTTGTTCACAAACAATGCCAAACCGATCAAACCGGCCTGACCCAACCTGATTTGGTCAGTTTTTCTTCACCACCCGTCAATTTCAGGTTATGAAGAGGGGATAAACCGAATTAATTAGTTTATGATTTCCTAGTCTTTCCCTAACTAGATAATCCCTATCTTAGTTTATTCTTTCTAGTTAGTTAATTATTTTTAACATTAAAGAACAATAAAATATTAGAATTACTTTTTTTGAATAAAAAATTTTACACCAAATTTAGAATTGTTCACAAACAATACCAAACCAACCCTTCATATTTCATATTTGTATCCATTTTACTATAAATAACCCGACCAAGTCGGATACGGACCTGAGTCTAGTTTCCACGTACAAGTGTAAAGACTAGATTGAGCAGAACTTATTCCTGATCGTCGGAATCGGTCATTAGAATTACCTGTCAACATCTCATACATTGCGGGTCCCACTTCCATAATTGTTCCCAATCTCATACTAGATCAAATTGGTTGGAACGTGTTTTTTAGGCCGAAGATCCATATGTCGAGTTATTAGCATCATTTCAATTTTCAACAGCCTTCACCTTTAAAATTATGAAATGACAAAAAGAAAAATTAAATAGAGTTGTTTTTGCTATCTTTTTTTTTTTTTGATAAAATCAATTTTAATTTTTAGTGAAATGAAAATTCAAAAAAAAAAAGAAAGAAACCATAATATAGAACACTGGACATTTTGGTAATTCACTTTCCAGCCAAGCTGGGCCTCAAGCCCTCGACCAAAAGCCAAGCTGAGGTCCAGAGAGATATAGACAGAGAGAGAGAAACTGTAGTCAAGTATAACCGTAGATTAACAGCTAGTGTTAGGTTAACCCCACTGCGTGGTTGGAGATGAGCTGTCATTTTAGGGCTTTTATAAAAACTTTCAAAAATCCCTTCCGCCTCCTCTCGCGTACTGCACGCTCGTTTTCTCTCTCTCTCTCTCTCTCTCCTAACTTCTGAGCCTCAGAATCTCCGGTTCAATTCTTTTAAGCTGTGTTGGATTCCGGCTCAATTGCAATTCTGTAACATATCTGCTTTATCAACAGCAACTTTTGCCAGATTATAGGCTACTTTCACTGAATTTCCCGGTTGAAATTTCTGGCAGTATCGTTCTGAATTTCAAACACTCGCATAAAATTCTTGTCTAATTCTGGGGTTTCCGATCATTTCCTGGCTAATCTTAAGGTCTCTGGTCACGTTTCCGGCTTTTAATTATGGCATATTTTCCAGAATTGCGAACTAAATGCGTGAAACGACAATTTCTATAGTGTTTCAGGTAGGAGTTCTGGCTAGCGGATTTAGTTGATTGGTTGAAGCTCAGGGTTTACATCTGACTCAGTCATTAAGGCTTCTGCCACCTTCCGGTAACCCGTCCTAGTGAAGATTTCGAGTTCCTTGCAAGATTTCAGCTGTTTCAGCGAATATCAACCTAATCTTTAAACAGTGGCCATTATCAGTAATTGTGCGGTCGAGAAGTACACCTCCAGCAATTATCTTGAGCCTCCGATCAAGTTTTCGGAGTTTGATAGCGGTTTCGCCGGTCAAAGTTGAAGTTTCCGGTGGAAAAATTTCATCATCTTAGGCTCTCTGCAATGCTGAGTGTCGATATCCGGTGAGTTGGTTCTCGTAGCTTCTGGAAATGGAATTTTGTTTTATTTTATTGTTTGTTGTACACAATCCGTAATTTTGCAACAGCAGCCCTCTACTCTATACTACAAGTGTTTTCTGAGCCGTTCATTTGGAATCTCTTGTTTGCTTGTTTTTTGATCCCAGCCGTCTGATGTCACCAATTGTTTTTCATTCTCCATTGTTTGAGATAGCTTTGGGGCCTATTTGTTAATTGAATGGTCAGGATGGTGAGCTGAGGCATCCTGCATTCATCTGCCATGTTGGGGACCTGTGTTCTAGGTATTCTCACTGGTGGTAGCTATCCTGATATCCGAATTGTACTGTAATATGTGCATCGTGTAGGGTAAGAATCAAGATCCACGGAAAGCTCCTGTTGTTTTCCTCCAATGATTCCCTAGTTACCCACCCACCCGACATTTATGATCATCATCTCCGTTCTATACCCGGAATTACTTGGCTTTGCTCCCAACTTCGGACTGTCAGACATGCCCTACTCGATTGACACAGCCTCTTGTCATTAAACTATTTTATGTCCAATAGGTTGTGGCCCACTTGACAGTGGATCTGTCGTACTTGGGAATATGAATTTTGGAGGGTAGAGATGATTTTCCCACCAAGTATTTGATGTAGCGACTCTACAAATGATCAAGCACTCATCTACCATTGTTATTCGTTTTTGATAAGGGGGGTTAGTGGGTTTCCATTAATTTACTAATTGGTTTGTATTTTTTATTTATTCATGATCTTTTGTTTAAGAGCTACATTTGTTTTTGCATGGCATGGATTAATTAGATGACGAGTACCAAACCAAGAAAAGGTTCGTTAGATGACCACAACGGTACATGTATTTGCCTATTCAAATCATTTTTCAGGGCAGTATTTAATTGGAGTGGAAGAGTGAGGATGGCTTCTGCCAGGGATATCTACTCTCTACTTAGCTCGAAAGCTCTGTTAGGCTCATGCTTTTTAAAACCGAAGCGGTGACCGAACCTGTCAGGGGTTCGGTTATCGGTTCAAACGGTCCGACCATTCGATTCAAACGGTTGGTCTGTTCTGACAAAAAAATAAAAAAATTTGAAAAATGATAAAAACTATTCAAATGATTAACCGGTTGGTTCAGCGGTTTGCTGACCAAAATCGACAGTTTTGAGGAAAAGTGGATTTGGGGAAAAATAGAACCGGTCAGGTAACCGGTTCCCGGTTTTTTCGGTCCGACCATCCGGTCCGGTCCGATTTTAAAAACCATGGTTAGGCTGCGTTTGGAGGTGGGGTCTTTTCCTTCTGAATGGGCTTCCCAGGAAGCACTTTCTGAATGAGAAATGAGACGTTTTTTTTATTCAGAAGCTATAAGAGCCCGTTTGGGAAAGCTTGTGCGTTGGAGAAAAGGTGCTGATTAAGCCATGATGCTTCAGCACCCATGTTTTGGAGAAGCTATGTGGAATATCTTCCTATTTCAATCATGTTTCTCGCCTCCGAAACACAGTGATTGGCTTTCCAAATTTTCACCAAACAAAGCTTTTTGCATTTTCATGTGGGACTCAGCTCAGAATGTTTGGGAACTTATTATTATTATTATTTTTTGACTTCAGCAAAAATGGACTTCTACTTCTTTTTCGGACCCAATAAACCCTTGGTGACATTTTTTACCGAATGCATTTTTGGGTGCTTTTAGTTTTAGCTTCCCCTCCCAATAAGCTGCAGAATCACTTTTTAGAAGGCCCCTTCCCCAAACGCAGCATTTGATTGTTAAATTGCCTGATGTAAACTTCTTTAATTCATTTGCTTTGTTTTTCTTTTTTTTTTTTATTCTAATTATCAGAGACTCTAAGGTAGAATCAAGTAGACAGTGTTCTTGCCCATAACGAAAGAAAAAAATAAATAAAAACAAAAAAGTTAGTATGATATGGTTGCATTCATTGGCTCAGAGTTGTCCCTTGTGTGATGGACCCACCAAAAGGTGGACTCTGTTCACGCTTATAGATAAGGAATAGGCAGAATAGAGATCTATCCTTTGCTTTACGGGTACCACGTTAGGGCTGTATTATTGCCAGATCAAACAACATCCACCAAAGGATAGAATGGATCTCCTTTCCTACTCTATAAAAGAGGCTTAACATGCATCAGTCGTATGGATGTCAAGACAAACAAAGCCTAGATGATAGATAGATATATATAATCACAGGTAAAAGAGCTATGACTAAAGAGTAAGACCCAACAGTCGGTCTAGTTATAGGTTCTATGCAGCTTATATATATATATATATAAACCGGTATACCACCTTAGTTCTTTTATTCATTAAAGAAATTGCACTTGAAAATAATTCATTAAAGAAATTGAATTATTGATCATTTTGAGGATTGGCATTTAGCTATACGGCTGTTAAGGTCCAGTTTCATGTTTTAGTAGTTTTAAATGACCTAGAAGCATGTAACTGAAATCCAAAGAAAGAGATGCAAGATGCAACATTTTGATTGCTTCCCTGGTTTATACCTTATATAGTCGGCCAAGTTTCCCTATATAGTATTTCCTAATTAACAATGGCAGCTTGCGATAACCTAAGTGGGTGCCATACGTCCCTATAGTATCTTTGCTGATTTTACTATTTAATTTTATTTCTTTCCTTTGTTTATTTTGAATGAACTTGAATATGGTTTGCATTGGATGTTAATGTTATCATGGTGATTTTTCATTATCTTTTATCTAGTGTGAGCGGAAGGTAGAGGGAAGGATGATGACCGACTACAAAAGAAGACCCGAATCTGTTGACGAAGGCAGCCTTACTTGTAGTGAAGCGAAGAGACAGAAGACTGATTTCTCTATCTCCCCAAAGGTCTTTTCTCAAATTCTGAGTTAGTTATGCAATATTACCCTTGGCTTAAAATAGACCATGTAACCTGTTAAACTTTCTGGGTTTAGGAGAGGAAAGAAAAATTTGGAGAGCGAATTGCAGCTCTGCAGCAGCTTGTCTCACCGTTTGGGAAGGTATATTTAAATTCCTGTTCAACTGAAGAGAAAATTTTTAACAAGGCAATAGGTCCAGTATCTTGAGAGGGTGACTGCTTTCAGACTCGAACTCATGATTGTTAGAGATTTTATCAAGCACCACGCAATGAATCCTAGAAATTTTAACATGACTGTGAACTAGAATACAAATGAAAATTTTTATTGGATTATCCATTTCATACCATATGCAAATTGTCTGCAATGGACCTATCTCAACTACTGCCTTCTAATATTGATTCCGTAAAGATGGTCTTATGTACAGTGTTGCTGTTTCAAGTTTTAACCAATATTGGATGGCAATACAATGTATTAATAAATGGATTCCTATTTGATAAAAAGAAAAAAAAAACATGTTAAATACTAGCACCACCTTATTAATTCATAAGGTGATGCTAGATGATTCTGGGATCTACTATCCCCGCAAGCAACTCAACCGGGAAAAATAGCCTGAGACGAGTACTGTTTTGAAACAGATCAACAAGAAAAACTTTAGTTTCTTTTCTCTATGATAAAATCTATTTATTTTTGTTGTCAAACTAAAGCCAGCCTGTCGCATGCAGACAGATACAGCTTCTGTCCTTTTGGAGGCAATGGAATACATCAAATTCCTTCACGATCAAGTTCAGGTTTGGTTCTCACTTAATAACTACAATAGAGATCCATTGTCCAATTTCCTTGCATGATTCGTGCTTGTTTTCTTAGTTTAAATTATTTCTCCGTTCTAGACTGGAAAATGATAACAAAATTTCAATCAAACGAGGTTCAAATAAAAGACCGACTGGTTATGGGTTGATATATTATACCTATTCATAAGAGAAATGTTGGGGCTTGATAGCGTATGTTCTCTGTAATAAGCGAAGGAATGAGATTGGCTGAAATTATGGTTATCCAACCAGATCAGGTTGACTTTAAAATAAAAAAGATCAGGTTGAGAAAATTTCCTTGGTGGAACCTGATGTGGCATAATCCGGCTGCTCCCTGCTGAAGGTGATCTGGCTGCCAGCAACGATGGGGATTAGATATCCTACAAGAGATGAGTCAGAGATTCCGAGGTGGCTTATCCAGTAGGGACACTCCGATGGCTAAGTTAGCACTCAGTAGTGGTAGTAGTGAGCTTGAAAATGATATCAGTGAGTTAGAGAGCAGAGATTACATACCTTCACCCCTGGGGGGGTGAAGTCTTTATATACTGGAGTCCCCGTGGGTTGGTGGAGCGGTTCTTGGATCCTCGCTGTGATGGGATTCGTTCGCGTGTTAGGTGGGTAAAATGCCACCAACCAGTAAGGTTGCCTGCTCCCTTCTAAATCGGGGAGTGGGTGAGCTAATATAGCCATTAAGGTACGATCCCGTGAGACGCGGGGTACGGTTGTGAGCTCCTCGGGGTTGTCACACGGGGGTCGGTCTGACTAGGTAACGAGTTGCCTGTGAAGTGTTGGGCTACTTGGTGGCGAGCTGCTTAATGGAGAGCTGTCTGAGCCCATGTCCTTGAGACCCGACCTGCTCTGAATGTCGAAGTGCCTTAGTACTGAAATGATCTTGCACTGAGGCAAGCTTGTCTCGAGGTGGATTCTTTCCGAGGTGGTCCATCTTCCCGGGTTTGATCTGTAGCCGACTTGATATCATTACCCTGGTCCCGATCTGATATCGAGGTGATCTCAGTTCGGGATAGCTTTAGTTCGGGGTATCAGGGTACCTGAGGTCACTTTGTAGTGAATTGATCATGCTGAGTTATCATTTGTATCGAGTCACGACCACGTGCCAATCTGATCATGTTGAGTTGTCACTTATGCCGAGTCATGCCTACGTGTCTCCCTGTTACGAGATTGGGCCAAATTTCTCTTCATCAGAACCCATTTAACAATGTATCGTACCTGGAGACCTATTTGTGCAAGTCCTACCTTAGAATTCCAAAGTGGATAAGATGAATATTGTCTCACTTATGGAGCAGCGGTGCGTTTGATTTGGTTCAAACTGTATTTGTTTGGATGATATCATGATAACCCCAACTCCTTAACCTTCTATAAGTTTTGTTGGACATTTCGGTATAGCTAACCAAATATTGCCATGAATTGAAAGCTTAGAAATCTAATATGGCCTCGAATTCTGGTTTAGTTGTTCAAGTGAATCAAGACCTGGTAATCAAGTCATTATAATTATTAATTGTTGAACATCTAGAATTGATTGATCTCATGGCTTTTTTTCTATGTTGGTTGAAAACAGGTCCTAAGCGCACCATACCTCCGGAGTACAAGGAAAATACAGGTAACTATGAGGAAGAATCTTGTGGCCACCCCTTATTTTAGGATTATAGATATGCCCCTTCGAAGTGTAGAAAGCAAATTAGAAATAATCGATTTCATGATCAAAACCCTGCTCTTGGGAATTAATTGTGACCAAGTAGTGGGCTTCTATAATGTCTGAAACTGAAGGGAGCCCCTGCTGTTCCCCCTTATATATATACCTAGTGTTTTTTGAATGCAAAGTGAATGATTTTTCTTTTTGTTTCAGGAATCGGAACAATACAGCCTAAGTAGCAGAGGCTTATGCCTTGTGCCAATCTCTCGTACTCTCAGCGTTGTGCGCAGTAACGGTGCGGACATCTGGGCTCCCATCAAGGCCAGCTCTCCAAGCTCTAAAATGCCGAGACCCAATTTCATCGATATGGTATCTACTGGAATTTCAAGGCAAGCCTAAAAAGAGTATACTCGATGCACCTACTTTTTCATCGACTCAAGTAGAAACCAAATTTTGGCATGTTATGCATTGAATCCTTGGGTACAGAAAAATCACCAACCGGTTAATCCAGTGAAGTTTTTTTTTTTTACTCCAAACTCTACTCGAGGTGGAGGGGTGGCTAATCCGAAAAAGCTTTCTAATTTGGAGCCAATTGGGAGTATTATCATGTCATTTATATTCCTCTGTTGTACTAATTTAAAATCTTGAAATGTAATCAATGATAACACAAGGGCTAATTGTTACATTAGTTGTAACTAGGTAGTGCTCTGTTGCTTTGTGTGTTTTGGCATTTACGGCATGGTTAAGATCAAGGTGAAGTATCAGTATTACATATCATATCTGTAAGCTTGAAAATGGATAAGTATCTCACTATGCTTGAAAATGGATAAGTATCAGTATTACATGATAGAAAGATATGGATACACTTGGATGGATGGATTAGGGGATATTCTACAATTTGCACAAGTTTATTAATAATATTAAATTTAGAGTTGAAATAACTATTGAACCCAACTACATAGTTATAGGATCAGGCAGAAGAACTGAGGTGCCAATTGGCATGTTGGTAAGGTCTCTGGCTGGTTGTAATGGAGACTATGGGTGTGGGGGATTGGCTACTCCCATCTCCACCCATATTGAGTTGTGTAGCACCATGAATAGACCTATTCATGGGCTGGGCTTCAAGTTCAATTTGTGTATGAACTTTGAACTGGATCCATTCAAATTTTGGCAAAAGTCAAATCCAAGCGTTGCCCATGAACAGGATCTAGATTTACCCATGAATGAACCTAAAACAGAACCAATCAACCCTATATCATATAGGTTCTGAGACTGCATTACAAAAATAACTCCTACCAATATGTGCATATATAATTATTTACATGTATATTAACATATTACAAAATTAACTCCAGTCTAACCTACTACCTATTTTCACATGTAATATTACCATATTATGATTTCTAAATGCATTATTTAAATAAATAGGTTCATTGCCACATTACAAATTGAAAGTATGCTTGCCAATTGTAATTGTCTCTCTTCCAAAAGAAAAATGTAATTATATCTTATATCAAATTGAAAGTATGCTTGCCAATTGTAATTGTCTCTTTTCCAATCTCAGAATAAGTTAGATTAATTTTTTGAACTTGAATTCAATCAATAAAATATTCGAATATAATACTTTAGTCGAAGGCTTGTATGCACCACTAGGACAAGTTTGTTAAAACTAGTCTTATGGTTTAGCTAATTGTCTAATTCACTTTTTTTGTAGAGTACTGTTTCTGACAATTGTCTAAAACCTCCCCCGCCGAACTGTCTGTCTCTTTGTATTAGTACAGCTTATTTTTCCACTTATATCTACCTAGAAATGAACAGCCGAAGTGACAGATAAGTTTTTTAAAATTCTTAAAATACCCTTCTTATAAACTATTCATCGTACTCAACCTTGAGACGAAGAGGAGAGCGGCGGTGAGAACTCCTCCTTTTGATTCCTCTTTGTCCTCTCACTATCTCCATTTTCCCCTTTCTCCCCTCTTCCCATCCATCTTCCTCTCCCATACCACACCTGCCTACCACGGGCCATGGCTCTGGCACTGTCTATTTTCGGTTCTTTTGACTCCTTCCTTTCTCGTCCGTACTCTTCTTCGGTTTTTCCTCTCACTATCTCCATATAAACTATTAGTCACTTTTAGTTAATCTTAGCTTGCTCTCAGCTTCCCCTTCTCCCCCACTTCAGACATAGTTCAATTCTGCTCCACCAAACCTAGGGGCAATTCAAATGCTCCATAGATAACCCCATGTGTCTCGTTCTCGTCCGACTCACCAGGGGATCGAAGAGTGGTTTGTGCTTCGCGCCCTAAGTGTCTTAATACCTACAACTGAATTCGTAAGCGATGCAGGGCAGGAATGGATAAGAAAAGCGGAAAGGATATAAACAGAGGGAGGAAGGGGGACTTGTTTCTCTTCCCTTCCCTTTCTACTTCTGCACTGCTTTGTTGGCAGGACAGCGAGCCAAGATCCGATTCATCAATCGATGAATCCATGCCACGTAACCTGGAAAAGGAGAAAGAGACGATGGCAAATTGGCAATGCACCTCATACAAGAGGGAGGGGTCCGAACAACCTTGTACGAACGCCGCCCATGTGAAGAAGTTCTCTAATTCCAAAAAAGCCAAGTCACCATTCTTAGTGATGAGCTTTAGAGAACAAATCTTATTCGAGAGAAATTAGTAAGGCTATGTTTGGTTCGAAGAAAAAGGCAGGGGAAAGAAGAGAAAGAGAAGGAAACCAATAGAAGGAAATAGGGGATGGAATGAGAAAAACGTGGGATTCGGAATCCCAAAATTGTATAATCGGGATCGCACCAAAACGATGCGACTCCGGTGGAAAAACTTGAGAAAATATTTTGGGCTTTCTTCTACAACCTCTGCCTATCCCAATGGTCAGATTTCCGGCGATTTTTCTGGACATATTGTTCAAAATTAAGAGCAGATTCATGGCTCAGGAGAGTTCCAAAATAACGTGAAATGGTTCAGCGAGATGAGGGCTTTGGAGCTAGCTTGCTCGCTGGTATCCTTTGTTGTTAAAAACCAGTGAAAAATGAAGCAGAGGTTCATCTCATAGTCATAGGTCCGAATGTAACAACCATGGCTTATCTATTGATGGATGGGAAGAGAGGGAACTGATCAGTCGAGACGGTCTGGCAAAGCTCAAAGCCAGTGTCTTCTTTGCTTCCATCGACCAACGAAGTGAGAAGGCTTCCGGAGAGAGTGCGTGCGCTGCCCTTGTTGCAGTCATTACAGATTGGATTCTGTCAAACAGAGGGCCCTTCCAACAAAGGATGAATTCGACACTCTGATAACAGAAGTGTATGGTTTTAACGGAAAACGATGGAGGTGGCAAGAGTATGGTTAACGGGAGTGGTGGCAGAGGCAGAAACGATGGAAGCGGCAATAGCGGAAGAAGGTTTGGTGAACGCAGAGAAATGATAGCGATGACGATGATGAAGTCTGGTCTTCAAGCAACATTTCACAGTGGTGGACGCAATAAGCGAAGATGTGCTTCCTCTCCTCGTCACTGCGACGTCTATGAGAAGGAAAAAATGGGAACGCAAGGGTGGACTATGTTTTGTGTTGGGTATTTTTTCTACTATTTTATCATATAAAACTAAATAATGAAAAGTTAAATTTTTACACATTTTCATTCCATCTTTTCCCATCTCACCCAAAAACCAGAACTTAAAAGTTTTCCTACCTTTCCCTATATTTTTCTTCACTGAAGTCCTAAAGTTTAATTGTTCATTATCAGCAGCTCAATGCCTCGTATTTTACGGAATTGAGTTGTTAAACCCGATCTGCAACAGAAAATGCCCAACTATGGCCATGTCCCGACAGAAAATCCCTTGAAAAACGGATGCTGATGCGGCTGCCGTCGTGGCCTTCCTATCCAGTATTGGTTCTGCACTGCTGCCATTACTATAATCTAACGATGAAGCTAGCTGTTGTTGTTTCCTATCTTGCTTCTGTGCCGACAGCTTACTCGATTCCCCTTCCGGTTTTGGTTCTGCAGTTGGAATTTGAAGTATTGGAGCTACTGTTACCTGTTAATGCTGTATAGTGCATCTGCAGTCTTCCGCTGCCTCATCCATGATTGTAGACATCACATTGGAATAACCCTTCTGAAGCAGCCGATATAGCAACAATGCCAACTTCCTCACTTGATCTTTGACATATTCAAGACAAATCTTATATGTTTTTCCCAGAGAGAAATCATCAAAGAACATTTTCCCTTCTCTTATTTTTCCATTTTCCTTTTCGTTCAAGCCTCCCTAGATCCCGTCTATCACTCTCCCTGGTTTTGGTGAAGCTGAAAATTATTATTTTTTTATACAAGGTTTGATGGTTTCTCTGCAACTTTTACTGTTCTAAGTTGCAAAACCACGAAACCTAGAATAACTGTTGTGTTTTGAACAAATCAACTTAATAACGATCGTTTTGAACTTCTGCTTCTTCTCCTCTCCCAAAAACTTCAACTTTGCCAGTAATGGTATCTGTCATTGTCAGTATTGGATCTGTAAACACAAATTTAGTGCTAAATTTAGAGTACAAAATTAATGCCGATAAATTCAAAGAAATTTAATTTAATTTGTTTAGCAGAAATTTAAATGGGATACAAACTCTCTTTTTATTGGTAAAGAAAATCTTCTGATTCTATTGTCTTAAATAAAAGCCAAAACGGCAACTAGAACTTGCAATTATGAGAAGCAAGTAACGATCAGCTATATGTGAACATAATTCTCCTCACAATCAATCAATGATTGGAGCGTGAACTGTTAAAGCAAGACCTTCAGTTGTAAAAGGCTCTTCGACTGTTATAGATTGATGGAAGTCTTCTTTGCTGCAAGAATTTAGCAAAAGCCCCTTTGATCGTTGTATTTCGGTAGAGAAATTTACAATAATTTGAAGACTGAAGTTCCCTAATTGGCATGACATAGAGTTGCAGCAATTCCGAAGCTTTGATTGCCAAAGAACTAGAGTCTTTGACCTTTCTTCTTGAAACGAGAAAGCCCAAAAAGAAATTGAAGAGCCCAAGAGTGTGGGTGGGTGGGGGTGTGGGGAAGGAAGAACCGAAGGGACTTTGTTCTTCTCCTTCCATCTATTTATAATAGATTCGGCCAAGCATTTGAATTCAGCCAACTGGTATAATTGATATGGGCCCACTAAATTGATAATTTGGTGATCAATTTATGATAGGCAAATTAGGAGAATGGGTTTGATTTGGGTTTGATTTGTCTCCCAATTATTTAAAGTCAAGTGCCACTTGGCAAAGGGGTAGGGCCCATGCAGCTTTCAATTCATTTGACCGACCATTATTTCTAAATTTGGTTGATCAATCAATCGTATCCCAATTCAAGATTTGGCAATCTGTCCATTGAGTGACAGATTAGGGATTTTTTTTTTTTTTTATGTTATGAGATCATTGCACCAAACATTTGAAGCTTAAGCTACCCATTAGAGAAATAAATGTTTCCTTGGGCTAACGGGTTGTTAATGGGCCCAGTAACTTCTAATTGGTTTGTCTGCCTTTTTCTCTTTTTTTTTTTTTGTCAACAGGATCTTCTTCTAGCACGGCTCTTAGACCATCAAAGAACCTACAGCACCTCCTCTGTCATTGTCGACACGGCTCTTTGCGACCTCTAGACTATCAAAGAATCTACAGCGGAAAGGAAAGAGAGGAGGGAAAATTTTTCACACGTTAAGTTTTATTCTGAAAATTTAAGAAATAATAGGGGACAAATTTGACATTTCATTTTTTCCATTACTACTTACCAACAATACCAATTGTCAAAAACAGTAAAAGTACTTTGAGACAATATATAAATAGTAAAGATAGAGTCAATCAATTAACTAAGCCATAAGAATAGTTTAAAAAATTTGCCCATTTTTAATGAAATCTGTCTTAGAAAAATATAAAAGAAAAACAACTATGCCCCTGAACTCTTCAATGTATTAAACATACCTAATCATTAGTCTAATATCTATAGCGGGAATTTGTTTGGGAAAGAGCTACCCCCGGATTTAGCTCCTCTTTATTGGCCATCTGGGTGGTGGATTAACTTTGGCTGTTGAGGCTCAACAGCATAGGCTGTTGAGACAGTTTCTGGGCAGTTCACCTATTCATGCCATGCTTTGATTTTTAGTAAAAATAAATATGTAATTTCTAATTTATCTATTCTCATGGTAACGTGGCATTTTCAGAAATTCTCTCAACAACATGAAACAGGATTCAATTAGAGCAAAGTCCATTCAAACAGCCATCATAACCTTGCATTGAGAATATCTCCCCATGAAATGAAACATAGAAGTATGGAGATATTCCCGATACAAGGCTATAAAGGCTCTTCGAACAGGGTTCGAACGGATTCTGCTCTGAGTGAAGCCCATCTCCAACAGCATAGGCTATTGGCCCCACAACAGCTAAAGTTTTTCCCTGGGTGGTGGCTCGGTTGGTTTTGAGCCCCGCTATCGACTCTGACCACCCTTGAGAAGAGTTATAATGTCTAGAAAAAAGTAGTACCATACCAAAGAAAATTGAAATACGGCCCTTATAGAGGCAAAGGCGAATGATTAAATACCATATTGTAAGATGCATCAAGGATCAACAGCAGTACAGCACCACTTTACTAGTTAAATGCACTTATAGTCAAGATCATTAAAGTCAGACCATTTAATTATATATTGATGCTCACATAATAGCCATTAGACTAGAATGGACCGAACCTAATTTGATTTTGATACGTTATCTATGTATCCTTGTGTACATTATCATGGTAACTTACAAAATACCTATGCTATGTAATGGATCCTTTTAACCAAGATCAGGGACAGTGAAGAACTCCTCTTCATCTGATATTTCGATCCTAGGCTTCTTAAGGGGCATGTGAGGTTTGGTGGGTCTGTTAATCATCGCATTACTTGGTTGTAAAATGGGAAGTTCAGGAACTTCAGCTGCTGCCAGTGCCTCCTGAGGTACTTGCTCACCAAAGAGGCCAATTTCTGTAAACCACTCCAGTTCTCCAAATTCAATAGATTCTTTCTGCTGAACATCACATCAAATAAACATTTCACAAAATTAAGGACAGGGAAAGAGGATACAAAGGATGATATCTTGAGAGAGAATGAAATTGAAGAAACTGATAATCAAATAATGGAGATCAGATAACAAAATTAAAAGGACTCTCTCTTAGAGTGAACAACACAACTGCATGTAGAGATGCACAGAAAAAGACTACATTTGCTGTGTGATACTTCAATATTAACCATGGGCCACAGTGATACCTCTATGCTCATGAACCTGTATAAGCCTATGATCCACATTCTAGACTGCCTTTACTGTTGGGGACCATTTAATAACAGATGAAGCTGCTGAACTGAAAAGATTTTTAGCTTTGTCTTTTGGTGAATAAGCTTTTGAGGAGGTTGTGGGCTTCTTAATGTTTGAAGCTGGAGTTGACTGGATTACCATACCCTATAATATTTTATTATTTAAGTATCTTATCCATGCTTAACCAAGCAAGAAGAAAGGTGAGAGCATACTTCTGTCATGTGGGGCTACACAATGCAAGAAGAAAGGTAAGGCTGCATATATCTGTCTCTCCCCAGACCCACATTGATGGGAGCCTCGTGTACTGGGCCGAGGCTGCCCTTCTAAGTATCTTATCCATCAAAAGAGAAAGCAAAATGTCGTTTAATTCAGAAACTTCAGCAGTTATCAAATGAACCCAATCTAATCTGGCTAAGAGCTCTCCTAGTCCTCAAAGCAATATAATGAAATTATTCCAATTGCAAAGCTGCAAAAACTGTCCAATTTGGATCTGATGATCTGATCTGCAAGGTCACTAAACTCATAGCTGGACTTGTATTACATTTATACATGTATGTGGCCCATTCTAGTCATTGATTAAACAATACCAGAAGGTGGACTGGACATTGAAGCAGCTAGGTATCTATGCACATGTGGGAATCCAATTTTGACATGAAGCTCTCCATTTCATTATTGCAATATAAAGCATGTGCTCCATCAGGTCCAGTTTAATCATCAAAGTCTTATGATATAAGGTAGACAAAAAGCAGGACAATAGCAATCCTTGTATAGAATTCAAATTCCCATTACCTTATCACTGGATTGAAAATCTGAAAACTGTAACAAGTCATCAACTGCCCATGGTGGAGATGCAAAGGTTGAAGGTTGTGGTGAAGACATTTTTATGGCCATTGGTTGTGGCTTCTGGTTGGTTGGCTCCAAAAATCCTTTGTTGGTGTCCTTGGCACAACCAGATCTCAAAGCCACTTTGATTCCAGTGGCGAGAAATCTTTGGTGATTGGCAGAGAGGCTATTTGCAGAGTGGATTGGCTCATCACAATCTTGACAGAAGAGGGCTCTATCTTCAACACAGAAAATAAAAGCTGTCTTCTCCTGTAAAGTAAATAAACAAAGAAGGAAAACAGGGGCGGAAGTTATAACTCAGATCCTGGTTAAGAGCTCAATTCTAATTCATTCTCCATGTAAGATCAAATTGGACCATTTCCTTCACTGATGATTAAGTATGAAAATCACCCTTATTATAACAGTCCTACCACTTAGTTTCTCAAATCTATGAATCCTAAAATGATGAAAATAACTTAGATTACAAATATACCAGTAATCCACCATTAATAGCCCTATGAGATCCCAGGATTTAGGTGTTTGGGATCTATGAGGAAAGTCTTTGCTTCCCCTTCTAGTTCTAATTCCACAGAGGCCACAAGCAACCGGGTCTGTACAGTACAGTGCATGAGGGAGCATGTTGCAGATAGTAATATGCCTAACCATTTCTGTAATGTAATCTCTTCTACATGTGGAAACTGTTAAAAGATTCATGCTGGACTCTTCTGCCTAATGCAATTCCATCAAGAACAAGAACAATAATAGAAACAAAAAGCAAATCAAACCCAAATACATGGACAAGGAAAGAAGAAAAGCCATTTCAAGAAAAGGGAAAAGGGAATTAGATATAGCAGTGAGGTATATCAGTGAAAAAAAAAATCTATCCTAAAGACATAAAACTACAAAAGCAGAGGAGTATACAGATGTTCACTCAAATGAGACAAGAAACGCCAAACTCAGAAAGCCAATTAAGCAAAATAGAAAGTAGAGAGATAGAGGAGGTAGGGTTCAATTTACTTGGCAGATATCACATCGGGGAAGTTTGTCGGAGAGGCATTGCAGTAGAAGCCTCTGGTGCTTGCTGGCGAGCTTGTTTGCTGCATGCACTTCGATATCGCACTTGGCACATAGAGCCGCCTCGTCGGCGCAACAAATCACGGTAGCCGGAGCTTTCTCGCAGACATCGCACTGGATTTTCATCCTCCTTCACTTGTCTTCTGTTTTCCCTTCCTTTTTCTCTTTATGCAAACCTTTTCCAAGCTTCTAGATGAGATTTAGGAGGTATCCATCTACCCAGATTGACAAAAATTGATGATTTCGAGTCGAAAGCACAGAATTCTTAATCAGAGAAAACAGAGTAAATGAATTTCAGAATCTAACCCCCCGAAAAATGGGCTTTCGGGTATTATTTCTGTTCTGAAAATGGAGACTCTCCTAAGGAAAAATTGCAGAAAAGAAACAAAGAATGAGACTCAAAGATCCCAAGTGGGTTGAAGACGGTGTAGACGAACTAACAAACTGAAGAAACAAAGGGAGAAAGAAAATTCTGACAGGAAGAGAAGAGGACAATAAAAGAAGAAGGAATAAGTGGAACCGAACAAGAAAGAGAGTACAGACAGAGAAGCGAGTGGTGTAGAATGGAGGAGAGTCTGCAGGAGAAGATAACGTTCTGGATTCTCATATCTAAAGCTAAGCGCTGAACTCATCTTGGTGGAATCTCCTCATTTGTGGCTGAGAAGCTCCCAACAGTATTAGTGGCCACCAATATTCTCGACTTCTTTAACCGGAGAGAATCAGGTAGCTGCCTGCCTGCGTCTGTACTGAGCGCCACGGTTGTTCCTGAACCTTCGGATTGGAATTTTTATTATGAGCGAAGGCTTGATTCCCCAGATGATACTAAATCCACGGTACACATTCTTAGAATGTTCATTTTTTGGTTGAACATCTTTTAAACGCTTACTGTTGAAGTTCCTCTGTGATAGAGACATGACAGACCTAGGCCAGACAAGTCGAGCCCAGTTTAACTGTTATGCACTGAGGCATGGGCTGGGCCCGAGCCCAACGACCTGGAGTTGGGCTGGATCTTTCTAGATGACCAGACAAGTCTTGCTGTAGCTGTCCAACTTTTCAGTCTTTTAATCTTGTAGGCCTGCACCTGCACTACAGATACTTTAAAGATCTTTTCAATCAGAGCCGTAGATATTGGAAACCCTATTTAAGAGATCTCTCGAGCTGAAAACAGCTTGATTGGATCAATTGGATATCTCTGACTCTAACCTTGTTTTCTCATCTGAACAAAAATAAATTATTTGGCGCTTTAATTATATTTTTTATAAATTTGTTTTGTAATTTAAAAAATAAATTAAAAGAAAAATTCCATCAATTGTCTGATGGAAATTACTAACGTAACGCTTTAATTTTTTTTTTTTTTTTTCAATCTTGCTTTTGCCCATGAGAAACTTTCTTGGCATAGTCGCAATTTCAACAGAAGAGGTGTATTTGCATATTTATTTGAAATGTTGGAGGGGTTTTGCAGATGTCAAAAGTACATTAAAGATAAAAGCAATTTTTCCTATATTAAATGCTATAATATGTTGTTGTGCTAAAAGCTAAATAGATTCTTCTCAATGTAACGACTTGTACTCATAGGGCTTGGAGCTGAAGGATCATTTCGATAATATATAGGGATGGATTCCAGTTAAGCCAAGCCGAATAATTAGTGTTATTTGAGCTTGGCTCGCTAGAACAATATTAGGCTCGAGCTTGAGCCCAATTCGGGCTAGAGACTTGAGCAATCATGTGTTCCTTGAGGTAAATCAAGAAATCAAGCTGTTGATGAGTTTGGATTTCCTGCACTTATAATGGTGTATGTCGAGGTGCACTTCCATTCATTTGATAACATGTCATGGGAATGAGGGTCCTGATAACGCCTTCCCTAAGTGTCTTATATTTTATATTGTAAAATAAAAAACCTAAAAAGTAAATGAAGATAATTTGAATTATCTTGCGATAGCGAAAAATAAACCCATCTGTATGAAAAATAAGCAAAGAACTTAAAAAAAAAAAATTAAAATTAAAACAGGGAGTTCTATTGATGAATGGCATAAGAAAAAATGATTCTTCTTCTTCTTCTTCTCACTTTTTACATTACAGGGACGCCATCAACAAGATCCTCATGCAAGGTTTTGCTCCTGCCCTATCAGTGTAATTGCAAGAAGAATTCCTTCTTCTTCTCTCTTGAAGACCCAATTTCAGCAAGGTGAAATTACATCGTGTGTTGTCAACAACATGAAATTTCTGTAAGATCTCAAGCCATCGTTTAACCATATCAACTCAAGTTAGATCTCAAACCATTATTAAACACCATAAATATTGACAAAAAAACCCAGAGATACAGCAGCTCTCTAACTCAGTCCTTTCACTAGATAGTTGGCTCTTCTAACCCTTAAAACAGAAGAATGCCTGTAACTTGTCCTTGACTAAAGCTAAAAAATTAGCTTCAAACAACATGAGACTTGTAACTTTAGCTAAAGATAAGATTGAGGACAAAAACATAATTCTATTTGCATATGACTCCCACTCTTGATTGAAGATTAGAGAAAAAGTCAATTTTTATTTATAAAACTTCTCTGAAATTGCAATCTTTAATGGCTTTTGCCCCTGGTTGAAGCGTAAAGAAAAAAGAGAGTTTTTAAAATCCTTAATGGCATCCATTGAGTTCTAGGTTTGGTGGAATTCCCCCCTTTCCTTTGAGTACAAATTCTTGAACACTCAATTTGAGTTTCCCTTTTATTTTCCAAAAAAAAAAAAAAAAATTTACATCACACATAATAGGAAAAATTGCTATTAATCCAACCGCACATGCAAACCGATTGTCCATGTAATGTATTTTATAAACGATTTTTAAACTTTGTTCTACATTCTATGTATTTGTATTTATATTCTTCCCAAACGGAGTCTAAAGAGAATAGAGAAGAAAAGAAGAAGAAAAGAGAAAAAAAAAAAAAAGAAAAAAAGATTGATAGTAGGGGTGAGCATTCGATTTATTTGGTTAAAAACTGAACCGAATAAATCGAAATTAAAAAAGTATTCGGTTTGGTTTTTGGCTATTTTAGTTAAAACCAAATTTAATTAAAATATACATAATGTTATATTTATAACCTATAATATATATTATGAAACTTAATTTTGTTATAATACATTATATATAATATAGTAATGTATAAATATATGACATATTATATATTTATATTATATAATAAATTTTAATTAATTTAGTTTTTTCGATTAACTGAATTTCTAAACCTGAAAACTGAAATACCCAAAAACCGAATTAATTGAACTAAATTCCCTAACAACCGAAAAACTGAATCGAAAAAGCCGAAACCAAAATTTTTAATTCGATAATTCGTTTTTAACCGAATAATGCTTACCTCTAATTGGTAGCGCTGATATCAAAGCTGAGTTGTGGTGATGGAAGACAGAAAAGGACAAAAGAAGAGAGAGAGAAAAGAGAAGAAAAGAAAAAAAAAAGAGTGATAGTGCTGATATCAAAGCTGAGTGGTGGTGGTGGAATACAGTAAAGGACAAAAGAAGAGAGAGAAAGGAGAATCACGAATAATTAAAGATGATAATTATGAGATTCTTAGTACCAAATTCCAATAGTAGGAGACACGCTAACCGAACTCATTGCATAGCTCAAATCTCGATCTCTACACTAACCAGTAACCAGAACCAGAGGGAGGAGGGGTATGGGAGTCGTCTACTTATAAAGTTAAAATTGAAGAGAAGAATTTCTACTCTAACCAAACTTATTGCATAGCTCAAATCTCAATCTATACACTAACCAGAGGGAGGAGAGGTATGAGAGAACTTTGTATGCGTTTAATCTTTGTCTCACAGGTTTCCATTAGAACAGCTTTCCTCTCTCTCCCTCTCTCTCGTTGTCAATCTCACATCTTAATCTTAATTTCCTCTCTCTAGTCTTAGAATCTCCAAAGTGCGTCATGGCTGCTGACTCGATCTCCCTTGTTTTGCAATGTTGGGCTTGCATTGAAGGGCCTAGGCGTTCAGCCTTTGTCTGTAAATTAGAAGAAAATCATACATCATTGAATGACATGTTGGGTAGATTGAAGAATTTAGTAAACGACGTGAAGAATAAAGTGGAGGCGGCAGAGGTCATCAGAAGAATGACACGAACAGAACAAGTGGATGGATGGCTGCGACGTGTAGAACAAAAGCAAGGAGAAGCAGAGGATGTCCTACATCAATGTTCTCAGCGGATTGCCAATGATTGTCATTGCCTTGGACGTTACTTCCCCAAGAACTACTTCGCTAGCTACAAGCTTGGTAGGAGAGTGGCTCAATTGCTAACCGAAGTCGATAATTTAATCAAGGAGGGCAGCAGTTTCTTTCTCAGTGAGGTGGCTTATTATAGGCAGATTGCACTTTCAGGAGAAGAACTGCCTTTACCAGCAACAATTAAAGGTATAGATTTGATGTTCGATAAGATGTGTAAATGCATCAGAGAAGATGAAGCTGCTGGAATCATTGGACTATACGGTACAGGGGGAGTTGGGAAGACGACCCTTCTCAAAAAAATCAACAACCACTTTCTCCTCAAAACAGCAGACAACAGTGATTTTGATGCTGTGATTTGGATAGTTGTGTCCAGGGAATTAAGCACGACACAGATTCGAAAGAAAATCGGTGATCAGTTGGGAATTACACGAAAAGACGATACAGACCAGGTTGCAGAGGCCACCGACATTTTCAGGTTGTTGAGTCGTCAAAAAAATAAAAAGTTTTTGCTCCTCTTGGATGACGTATGGGAACGAGTTGATCTAGAGGAAATTGGAATTCCTCACCCCAGTACCGTCACTGAATCAAACAACAAGTCAAAGGTGATATTCACAACTAGATCTGAAAAGGTGTGCGGAGAAATGGAAGCTAAAAAAATTTTCAAAGTTGAATGCTTGCAGGATGATGAAGCATGGAACCTATTTGAAGAGAAGGTAGGAGAGGACACCCTGAATTGTGATCCAGACATACGTCAGCTAGCCAGGGATGTTGTGA